AAAAGTGAACAACTAGTTTATGTATTTTTGGACCTCAAGTGTAACTGCCATCTGGTCTTTATATATTAAAACCCTCTTTCTATATCTGTACTGTTAGTCTTATGTTTCTGTGTTTGATCATAGCATTTGTCGTCTCGGGTTTACTGTTCTAAAAATCTTCGACTAGTCTCTGCTTACGCGCTCGCCTGCTCAGTTACTTTAATCTGTTGTTCAGTGTATCTATGTGTTTGTGTGAGTGTATCTTTTTTAGCCAATCTCAACTGCTAACTCATACCACTAATTTACAAAGTTGAGATGAAATCAAAGTAAGGGAAAAAAAAAAAACTCAAAATCTAGTTGAGATGAAATCAAAGTAAGGGAAAAAAAACTCAAAATCTCTTCAAATCTGAGATTCTTTTTGTTGCAACAAGTAGAATTAAATCATAAAATCAGTATTCTCCCACAATGTATCTCTCTACAAGCAAATAACATCACCACTTTGCACACAAACAACAAATATAGCAATTGAACAACAAAAAATCATCCTAACAACAAATCATCACAACAACACTCCCACAAAGTAAATGAAACAATAAATAAACACATCCAAATAATTTACCAACACAACAATGAAAATGTACAAATTTTGCATGTATCTCCCAGTTTCACATTGAATTCGAGCTTCAAAAGATGCCGAGCAGCTTCTTCGGAGCAGTCCCTGTGGCACGGTATTTTGCCGCAGTTTCCTCTGCTTTGAGAAGACCTTCACCTCGTTTGGCTTCGATTATCGCCCTTTTCTCTTCGGCTGCCTTGTGAACGAGAGCAATCTTGTTTTTCATTATCTCGATATATTTTGCTTTCTTCAACTCCATGTTCTCCTATAAGGTCAAGTATACATACATATACACAAAAACACAAGATAATAAGTAACATTCATTAAACATATGCCCGAAAAATATCATATACCAAATTAAATTTGTTACCTCGATCTTTTTAAGCTCAGCCTCTAGACTCGCTTTCTTGCTGTTCTCCCAAGCTTCAATGGCAGATACTTTCATTTGAGCCCTGTAAAATTCCACAACTCAGAGTTTAGTCTAATTTTAGATTCTTAATTTACTAGGCATGAGTAGAACTTCATAAACCATAACCAGTAACGTAATGAAAAGCGGAAAAGTTAAAAAAACAACACTTTTTTTTCGGGTCCTAATTTCTTGAAAAATGATGGCAAAGTCGATAGAGGCGAGGAGGAACAAAGCATGCTTCGACAAAATGCTTACTTGTTTTCAGCTTTACACTTTTCACTTTCTTCCCATGCTTTGATTAGAGACAACCTCTTCTCGGTCGCAACACGAGCCAGCACAGCATCTACGAAAACAATGAAATGAAATGATTGTCTATTAGTATTTTTCATTTCAAATTGATACAACATAATCATTTTTCTTGATTATATAACATGGCACGAGCATATTGTGGACAGAATCGAATACCTCTGTCCATAGAGCCCTCTGCTTTTTTCTCCTCAGCAGCTGCAGGTTCTTTTTTAAACAGGGGGAAAAGTTCAAAAGTAAGGATAATCAGTAGCTTTCATCTTTATGTATTTATTTATTTTTCTTTTTTAATTTTTTGTGCAATTCAAAACTGGATGGAGGTAAAAGAACAAGATTCTTGTGCAAGTGGCTTTTGAAAGAAGTGAACTGCAGATCTTAAGATTCAATTTACAGACTTCACTTTGAGCAAACTACAACAGAAGAAGAAATAAGGTGGATTAAATTTTACAAACTACAACAGAAGAAGAAACCAAGCAAACTGCAGCAAGATCCATTTTCAAATTTCACATCAAACAACAAACCCAAAAAAGTAAACACACACACACACACACACACACACACACACACATATATATATATATATATATATAATTGAACACACACAGACACACACAGTGATGCTAAACTAAAGTTTTCCCCAAAGAAGGGATCTTTGTTGCCCCCACGAAATTATCACAAAGAAACAAGCAAAAACATAATAAAAAATGGCAAAAACGGCAAAGATTTCCAATTCAAACAATAAAACCCAAAAAGAGGAACACACATATACACATACAGAGTGATACTAAACTAAAGTATTCACACCCCCATGAATAAATATATTTTTCCCTTCATAAAATTATCAGAAAAAAAAAAAACAAGCAGAAACACAAACAAAATCAGAAAAAAAAAGAGGAGATTTTTTTTTTTTTTTTTTTAAAAAAAAGGAGTATACATACTTTCAACCACGACAAGGGCTTTGCACTCTTCAACTTTCTCCTCAGTGGGAGGCGGCGGGGTCACGGTCTTCTCCTCAGCCACGTCCTTCGGAGTCTCCACCGGCTCAGCCGCCGGCGCCGGTGCAGGTGCAGGTGCAGGTGCAGGTGCAGGTGCAGGTGCAGGTGCAGGCGCAGGTGGAGCTTCCGAGGAAGTCTCCGGCTGGGGCTCGGCCTTCTTGGCTTCCTCCTCTGCCATCACTTCAGAAAACTTAGCTATTTTTTCTTAAAAAGGAAGAAAGTAGATAAGAAAAGCTTGGAGTGCAAAAATGGAAGAAGTAGAAGAAGAAATAGAGGGCTATGGAGAAATAATTGCGTGTGTGGGAGAGGTGAGAGAAAGTTGGTTGGGGAAGAAGGTGAAGTGTCGGGTGGGGGAGGACAGTAGGAGGTGGGATGATTGGTACAGATAAATGGCAGATTTTGACCTATTATTATGAGGATGACGACCCCATTGCCCACAGGTTTTATAAAGCTTTTTTAAGCTTTTTTTTTTTGTTTTTGCAGAGACTTTCCGGTTTTCGGATCCACAGTGACCCGACTAATCCGGAATCGAGCCGGGTAGGATCACAAGGGCGACAAAACTTTCCCTCAAGAGTTTTAAGCTTTCAAATGGCGATATTTTAAGTTTGAATTTAATTAATATTTAAAATAAACTAATTAAAGTTGTAATGATATATAAAAATATATGATACATGTGAATATAAGTATTAAATAGTTAAAATTATTGGAGTGAATGAATAATAAATTAAACTTGATGTGATTTGTTAATATAGTTGATTGATATTATTTAATTATATTAATAATATTAAGGAGATTTGAATTGAATTTTGAGTTGTGATTGAAATTATTTGATAAATTTATATATTCAAGCATGCATTATAACCACTTGCCTAACAGAAAATTCTAATTATCGATAAAAAATGGTTTTGATATTTAAAATGTAATTATTAATGTTGATGGGGTATAAGTTTGACATATGTTTTTAAAAATGATATGTAGTTAAAAATTGGTTTTGATATTCAAAATATAATAATTTAAGTTGATATGATATAAAAAATTGTTGATACGTTATTTGAAGTTTGAACTGATATATAGTTAAAACAATTTGTTAACTCACACCCTAAGGCCTAAGCTGTTTGGATATAGATTACACCCATTATGATTCAATTTGGTGGGCTAAAGCGATTTGTTTCACCGATTACGATTCAATTTGGTGAGTTAAAGCGATTTATTTCGAATAAAGTAGATTTGAAATTAAATAATATTTAAAATATAATGATTACAACTGATATGACATAAAAGTAATAGAGAATTATAAGGAGTGATATGTAGTTAAAACTATACAAGTGAATTAATGTTGACGTAATTTTTAAAAATGATTGATTGATGTTATTTATTTATATTTATAAAAAAATGAAGTCGAGTTGAATTTTGAATTAAATAGTTGAATATGAAATGAAACTTATTATAACAAGTTAAATTGGACCATAACTCATCTCCAATCACGACTAAGAACATGTTTGTTTATAAAAATTTTTGGGTTCGATCATAATTCATGTTCAATCACTGTTTTACCATAACAACATTATTTCTGCATCCAAAAGTGGCTCCAACTCTTAGCTGCCTTTTTAGCTTATACAACCGTTGGAGAGTGCTATGATTTGCAGTTTGGCACTTTTATCTTTTAAAAGCCATTTTGGGTGCTGCTGTGTTGAACGGTAACATTATTATTTAAAAGTATATATGTCAGTAAATATGCTGTTTTGAGCTTGTTTTGAGTTTATTTGTATTCCAATTTTTAACTAATGCGTATTTCTCTTCTGGAATTTACACCTATTTTTTAAAATATTTTTTGAACAAAATTTTGGAAAAATCAATGCCTCGATTTAATCAATAACTAGTATTCGACCATGTGCATTTGCACATATGTAAATAAAATCAAATATTATAAGTTTTTTGCACGCAAGTAATATTAAAATTATAAGTTCAATAATAATATTATATTTCATACATATAGTATTATAAGTAATATTTATGCATATAATAACAAAATTATAAATTATATAATAGGATTATATTTTAAAATTTGATAATTGGTTAGAATAAAATAGTACATACGATTTGATTGCATACGAATCACTATATTAA